ACTTCATATTTAACTGTCTATCAATTCTCTCTAGAAAAACTTTTCCCGAGTCTTGGGAGGGGCTATCTGTCCAATCGACTGCACAGAAAGGGTGTGACCAACATTAGTTCAACGAGTTTGGAGGTGGGACTGTCTAACCAATGTTAGGCAGGGAAATGTTCTTGAACTTGATAGTGCAACAGTGCGCATCCACTTTTTCAGCAGCCATTTTTTTTTTTTAATATTGTTGGTTTAACTTAAAAAAGTAAGTAACTTGATTGACTTAAAATTTTAAGTTGATTGAACTGGAAAAAGTGAGTTAAAACAATGAAGGAGATTAATTTAATCATCAGAAAGTCAAAATAATAAGTTATCTCAACTAAATAAATTGAGTTGATTTGACAAAAGAAAAAAATCTTGAAAATATTTCAAAAAGTCTTCTTTAAAGAGTTATAACATAAACCATGAATCAAAGAAAGCTACAAGGTTAATCACATTACAAATTTTGATTTGAAGCAAAAACGTATTTGAAAATCAGACAAAAAGACAAATGAACATGACGTGTGCATCAGCTTTTGAAGGGAAGAACTATCCCCAAATGAATTAAAAATCACGAAGGAACAAATAAAACTATTGATATAAAAATGTTGTTTATGTAATGCAAAATATGCCCTTGTGAAAAAAAAAAACCTATGCCAAAATGTATTTAAAAAACATTTATTTCATACAATCCATTAACATAAATACTGACATATCACTTTTATAGTAAATATTAGAACTAAACTTAATTTGGAGTACTTCTTTTTTTTTTTTGCACAATGCATATTTCTTAATATTTAGCCTAAGCTGTGTTTTAATATCACTATAAGGACGGATAGTGTGATCTCTGTATAATATCAGTATTTAAATGCAAGATATTTGTATACTTGCATTTGCTCCACTTTATCGAAATAAAATATAATTAAGCATATCTTTAATTATACCTTAGCATCATTTCTGGAAACCTAAAGTACATTTAGTACAAAAGTAGTTGTTAGAATTTAAGTTGTTGGAAATGTATTTGTGATATACTTAGCATAAAATAAATGTATTTCAAATACATATTTCAAAATATTTATTTTTCACCATGGTGCAAATCTATACAAGTATTTAAGTAGCTTGACTCTTGAGACCGCTCTATTATGACATTTGCAATGCTTTCGGCATGATTTGTTTGTTGTAATTATCTGACTGCTGCAGATTTCTTTGACAAAAAATTAATTCTTTTTTTTTTTGTTAAATAATGTTGGAGCTGATGGCTTCTTCAACAAAAGTATATCCTATCGATTAACAACCATTAAAAATGTATAAGTAACTGAGATAAAAATTAAAACTAAACATACAAAAATAATAAAAGAGCATAATTAGCATGACTGGGAAAAAATAACTAAAATAAATGTGTTCAGAAAATAATTTTAATGTTTAGTTCATTTAAGTTTAGTTTTTAATACATATAAAACTAAAATATAATAAAACTAAAACAAATGAATAACAATTTGTCCATGTTTTGACACACTTGGTTGCTCTGCATCATCCACAAATATGAGGGATTTCCTGTGAATATAAAGAGGCTTCCCTCATTCAAACTGCATGAAGCTCTAAGGCAAAGATCTATGTGCAAGCTGTTGTTCGTACATTTGAGAACACACATGCGCACTCTATTCATGTCATTCCCTCTCTTTGTGCCTTTGCATGCTGTTTAGAAAGCCTTAACATAGCACTGACAAACACAACCGACTCTCCCTCGCTTGCCTGTGAGGTAACATCAAGGCAGTACCACAGTTTACCCAGACCACAGTGAGTGTCTGAGCTCTAATAATCCACACCCAGTGCAGGAAACAGCCAATGCCTCTTCTATATTACCACAATCTTCTTGCTCTTTCCATCATGAGGCTGTATCATAAATTAAGTGGGTGGAGGCAGGCTGAAATTGAATCAGCCATGATTCCCATATAGGTGGAGGAAATGCCCAACAAAACGGATGACACTGCATTTGTGGCAAAAACAAAACGCTCGGCTGGACGTCCGAAGCGGTTATGTTAACATCTGTATTTTTTCATTGTGTCTCACAAGGCTGTGTACTTTTATCACACTTTAAGGGGATGTTTTTATCATACCTCAGACGTGAAATATGATCCTTCTCTGCACTGAGCTCTATGCTGGATACTCCTCGTAAATGATCAGTGATTGAATTTCATCAGCGTTCCCCCCCAGCCAATGGATGACTTAGAGACTACTGTACGCCCATAGATACAGGCACACATTACAAGCTACACAGGACATGAAACCATTCGTGCTCCCTGCATTGTGAGCAAGTACAATGAAAGATCAAAAGGGTGTAATCGGATAGAAGTAGCATTGTGCGAGATGAACCATTTCAAAAGGAAATGGCCTTTATGATATATTCGAACATTAACATGCCATTAAAAACAATTCAGCAAGCACTAAATATCATCTAAAATGATGCAGGATATATTTATAAGTTTTAATGCGAGATGTATGGCCATTCTGACACAACAAGCAGAGCTCTCAACAGCTAACTGGCAACAGTCTGTGATCAAGCCTTTCCACCACAGGCGAAAACCTTTGCAGCATCAAAACTTAGCACATTTTTGCATCCACTGTAATCATCCATTACTTGTTATTCTTTGTTTTCTGGCCAAAAAAATATGTTCAATCCTTCCTACTGAAGTTAGCATTACACTCAGTTTGCCAAACATGTTTGCACAGCATTTTTTTTTTCCAGTAGGCATAAATATAATCATTTAAAAAGTCTGTTACCACGGGAGCAATGTCATATCCAGACACAAATACTCTGTTCCAAAACTTAATGAGACCACTTTCTAACACCGTTGTTGCACAGTTTTAGCAAAACTTTCTTTTTTTTTAATTCAAAGACTTCACAGACACAATATTTGTGTGCATTATGTTTTATGCTTATTAAGGCGTGGTCGATTGTCCATTGTAAATAGTGTAGTGATGCATGAAGCACAGTTCACAAAGAGGTCACTGTCAAACCAAACAGCTTTTTGTTGGTCGATGGAGTGAATTCACACGACCAACCCATTGCAAAATCTGCATGAAAAATATTTCGCCCTCACTCGAAATACCAAATTGTGTTGATTCCTATTGCATGCCTGAACAGTGGTGAATGTGCCTGCAGCTTCATTGTGCTTTAGCTTAGCAACATGCTAACGTCAACAATTCTAACTTCAAAATAAGCTTTTATGTTTCGAAATGTGGCTGCATCATTCTACTAAAATAACCAAAGTCACATTACAATTATGTACTTCACAAGGAATAACGCTCAATTTTATAATAGTTAATTTTCTGAAAAGAGTTGACATATGCAAATGACACACAGCCACTGTCTCCCGTGCAGAGCTGTCCATGAAGAGTGTTCCAAATCCTTCACTTAGCCTATCGGAAATCGGAAGTTGCCACTAAGTTTTGGAACAGAACAAAACAGAAAGCAGCATAAATGCCTATTAAAGTATTGTGCTGTTAGCTTAGCAACATGCTAACGTCAACAATTCTAACTTCAAAATAAGCTGTTTTTTATTTCGAAATGTGGCTGCCTCATTCTAATAAAATAACCAAAGTCACATTACAATTATGTACTTCACAAGGAATAACGCTCAATTTTATAATAGTTAATTTTCTGAAAAGAGTTGACATATGCAAATGACACACAACTGTCTCCCGTGCAGAGCTGTCCATGAAGAGTGTTCCAAATCCCTCACTTAGCCTATCGGAAATCGGAAGTTGCCACTAAGTTTTTGGAACAGAACAAAACAGAAAGCAGCATAAATGCCTATTAAAGTATTGTGCTGTTAGCTTAGCAACATGCTAACGTCAACAATTCTAACTTCAAAATAAGCTTTTTTGTTTCGAAATGTGGCTGCCTCATTCTAATAAAATAACCAAAGTTGCATTACAATTATGTACTTCACAAGGAATAACGCTCAATTTTATAATAGTTAATTTTCTGAAAAGAGTTGACATATGCAAATGACACACAGCCACTGTCTCCCGTGCAGAGCTGTCCATGAAGAGTGTTCCAAATCCTTCACTTAGCCTATCGGAAATCGGAAGTTGCCACTAAGTTTTGGAACAGAACAAAACAGAAAGCAGCATAAATGCCTATTAAAGTATTGTGCTGTTAGCTTAGCAACATGCTAACGTCAACAATTCTAACTTCAAAATAAGCTTTTATGTTTCGAAATGTGGCTGCATCATTCTACTAAAATAACCAAAGTCACATTACAATTATGTACTTCACAAGGAATAACGCTCAATTTTATAATAGTTAATTTTCTGAAAAGAGTTGACATATGCAAATGACACACAGCCACTGTCTCCCGTGCAGAGCTGTCCATGAAGAGTGTTCCAAATCCTTCACTTAGCCTATCGGAAATCGGAAGTTGCCACTAAGTTTTGGAACAGAACAAAACAGAAAGCAGCATAAATGCCTATTAAAGTATTGTGCTGTTAGCTTAGCAACATGCTAACGTCAACAATTCTAACTTCAAAATAAGCTGTTTTTTATTTCGAAATGTGGCTGCCTCATTCTAATAAAATAACCAAAGTCACATTACAATTATGTACTTCACAAGGAACAACGCTCAATTTTATAATAGTTAATTTTCTGAAAAGAGTTGACGTATGCAAATGACACACAGCCTGCATAGATAGCTTAGCAACATGCTAACATCAAACTCTTAAGTAAAATTTCCCATGTACAGCCAATGTAGATTGTTCCATAGCCGTCATTTTTGAGCTTTCACAGATTAGAAAACTGTCGTACTGTTTTCGGAACAGAGCTACTCTTAATCAACCAAATGTACTGACAAAACAGAGCACACTTTGAAGTTGAATAGGGAAAGAAGGGCGTGTGTTTTTGCCTTAAAATGGTTATTTGGGAGCTGTCAAACACCCCAGGAGGCCCAAACTCTACCGCAAGGTGTACCGCAACACCTTACCTTAGCAGCAACTGAGGAACCTGGCTTCTCCAAAAGGTCCCAAAGTTTCTTCCTCTTGTCTGAGCAGCAGGTGTTATCAAATTCCCCCTCTCCCTCCCTTTCTCTCAGAGTCTCTGCCTCTCTCCTCAGCTCCTCGTTCATCTGCTCTTTCTTCTGGTGGTAGCGAGCCTGGCAGCACGACTCCAGGTAGATCTCATCGATGCCCCAGTAATCGAGCTCTTGCCCGAAAGATAGGGCGCACATTTCCTCCATCATGTGCAGCTTTCCAGTTCTGTAAAAGTTCAAGATGGACGTGAACGCGCCGGGGTGTCTGTCGAAGAAGTACTCGTTCTCGTTCAGGCAGTAGTCGTCGCAGACCTCCATTAGTGACTCGTGGGTGTTACAGTCTCTGAGCTTGCCTAATCTGGTTCTGGGAAGTCGGTCCAAGGTCCGCCATAAGACCTCGTGGTTGAGGCCCCCGACGTTGATGCGGACCCTCCTGGAGCGGGCCTTGGTCCGGATGATCTCGATAGGCTCGGGTGGAAGCGAAGTCGAGGATTTGCCTCCAGGTTTCGGAACCCCCAGTCCAGTCTTCTCTGCCATTGTGCGTGTGGGGACAGGCGACTCTCGCCAGGAAGAGGTGCAGGGACGAAAATCAACCAGAAGACAACTGGGAAAAGACAATTACGTTGGGTCCTCCTTAGACGAGTCCCTCCATGGCTGCGAAGACAGACACAAGAGAAAGGATGCTGGAATATCTGAAGTAAATGTTCTGATCATGCACAGACACCTGTTGTTTCCACCTTGCACGTTGTGTGAAATGACATTTTTCCATGCAGTGCACAATATTCCAGCTCATAATTGTTTAGGAAATGCCCTTCTGAGATCCATTAGGAATATGTTAGATTGCACTGTATGTGTTTTGCAAAGTACATTTGGAAGCATTAGATCCCATTTACATATCACCAGCCAAGCGTGCCCTGTATGCAAAGAAGAAACATAAGCTCTGGTATATTTCACCAAAGCCTAAGCTGAGAGAGTCGTGGCATATCTTGTTTAAACTAAGGAGAATTAGTAATTAACACAAGCATTAATTCTTGCCACATTTAATATTTATCATTGGCCTCCCTATCATTTCAAGGTTAAGTTCAGGAGTGTAATGTAAGGTGATATGTGAGCGGAACATGCAGTTCTCTTTTTTCTTTCTTTAACAAATAATAAAACATAAAATAACAGCAAAAAACATTGTTTTATTGTACACTACTAATATTCAGCTGCTTCTGAACCTCTTTATTTTACTTTTTGCAAAAAAACTGAAGTAATCGAATTGCATTCTCTGACATTAAAATAACTAAAAAAGCAATATTTGGTGTTATTTCTGATCTCTTAAAGATGACATTCATTAGTGTAATGTAATGCTCTCATATTAAAAATGATTTTTGACTCTAATGAAATGAAATAATTTAGAAAGATTTTAGGTTACAAATTATACATACACACAAGACAAAAAAAAAAAAAAAAAACCTGCAAGATCGGACTCTTTCACAGTAATCTTTCCATTTTAGATATAATTTGGAAAGAAGTTAATATCCCAAGCCAATAAAATAATATAAGTATATCAGCAAAAATATCTACGTTTACAATTTGTGTGTCCACTGTTTCTCACATTAAGATTCGTCATCAGTGTCTAATAAAACCGTTGTACTGTATGCTTTGCCATGCGAAGCCTTTAACTTTGCAGCCTTGCTATTTAAAAAGAATCAACCTGTTCTGAAAAGCAAATCTCCTTTCACTTCATCTCAGCTGTCCCACTCAAACAAGTAACGTCCAGGCATCACGACTTGCCATAACAATGTTTCTGCCAATGCAACTATTTCTTACCTTCCTGAAGTGAACCACCGTTTGCATATACAAACCGCTGTGTGCGCAAACGAGAGAAAAGACGTCTGTGGGTTTCCTTTAAGATTCCCAGCTCTCAACGGAGGCTTCAGTTAGGACCGGACATGTGTTCCACATTTTGTTCAGATCTCACTGTACACCGGGGCATTTCTGTCACTGAAAGAGCTCTCCTTGTGTCGCTGAGAGTGCTACCTCCATCGATGGCTTGATACGGTTAGTCGGGATGGCTGCAGATGTCGGACGCGTAAAGCTGAGGGCGCGCGCACTGTGTGTGAAGCTGCAGAGTGACACTGAGCGCGCGTGTGTGTGTCTCTGTGTGTGAACGGAATGGATCGTCTAAGCACGAACTGCATCACAGCCTAGAGGTGAAACCTAATTGGATTGGTCTGTACATCAGCAAGGGCAGCAGCAGATCAACTTCAGCAGGAACTCTATCTCTCTATCAAGTTTATGTTCCATACATTTATGAGTGTAGACAATAAATATTGCCTACATTAACCACCTATGTGTGCGTGTGTGTGTGTGTGTGTGTGTGTGTGTATATATATATATATATATATATATATATATATATATATATATATATATATATATACACACACACACACACACGCACAATATATACTATTCTGTTTATATCTTTCTATGTACATAGAATAAGGCAATTTTATTTCAAAAACATTTTACAGTCCAAAACATCTTACAGTAAATCTATGTTTTAAATATAATCTCATTTATTTGTGCTGTATGACATACAGTTAACATGCATGTAACCATTTTTTATGGTTGTGCTGTATTTTACCTCAGCATAATGAAGAATGCCACAGTAAGTAGTCTTAAGTTTACAGTGAGGCTAACATACATTTTTGTGCGTAGGACACAGATTAAGACAGATCATAAAGATTAAATGTAGCCTAATAATAATAACCAAGTAAAGGTGTGACTTGAAACCTCAGTGTCGTAAAAAAGGCTTAAGTGGACACCAACAGAGTCAGCTGCTGTACTGGAGCCAGTGTCAACAAGATCATGTAGGCCTATATATTGACTTTTTTATGACTGGCAGCAGTCAATACATGATACAGTATACGTGACATGGCACTAAACTGTATGCGTACTGCATTACTAGCAAAATATTTTACAGGGCATAAGAAATCACTTTTCCATGCTGTGGCAGCAGCGGGTCCTTGTTTTTATTGCATTGGCCTGGGGAGCCATGTGTAAAGTATATGAAGTGTGATTTAAAATGTATAACACTTCGTGAGGATATGTAGTCACAGCAATTGTTAGTTATGAAGCAGCTTTATTGAGTTTCAGTTGCGGTGTTGAATGACCTGCATGGGTCTGCACTGTTAAAGTTCCCTCCATAACAGTAATTAAGCCTCTAAAACTGTGTCTGCTTTGTCTTTCAAACAGGTCCAAGTAAAAAAAAGATGAAAGGAAACAATAGTTTGGAGACCGTCCATCTGTACGCACGAGATGTCACAGGACTACAGGAGAAACAGTGGTTGGGGAACAAATGGTGCGTGCTATAAATATATTCTATGCTTATTAAAGGGGCTGTAGTTTGATTTTAATATACTGTGGCTCAGTGGCATTGGTCCATGAACGATGCTTGAAAAGGAATAAAGGGTGACATAATATATACGTTAATTTTCAGATGAGTAGTATGACTAATAACAATGAACAAATCTGATTCACACACTGTGTTGTGTTTCAGTATTTTTCGCCCAAATGTTTTCTGCCACTTGAAATTTTCCTCTGACCATGGCATTTTTGTGAAACCAAACAGCATGTTGTGTGTGATTGATGTTGTAGCCTCAAATGAGTGATCAATACATTTCTATAGATTTTTCTGACTCTTGTGCATAGTCTGCTGTGATCCACAATGTGAGGGTGAAGGACAATTGGAAAAAAGAGATGAAACAGTGACAAAGGACTAGACACAATTTAATAAGGAGTCGTAATCAACTGCCACTGCAGTTCAATAGAAATATGCTAGTTGTCCGCTTATATCAGTGTGTCAAGTAAACATCTTGCTGCCTGTCCAGCTGTTTCTAGTTTGCATTTCTCATCAATTCAAAAATGCCCATTGGCTTCCTTATTAAACACGATTAAACTGTATACAAATTTGGATTTTTAAAAATTGTTTAATACATTGCAATATATATATATTTTTATATTATTATAATATAATATTATACATATTACATATAGCATCTTATTTTCCTCAAATCTGATTGGCTAAGAGTTCTTTCAGAGGTCAAGCAAACATTTTTTTCATGAGTTTTGTTTAGATGAGAATGTAGTTGCATAGACCTCAAAGTGATTTTTATATTAACATGTAGACCATTTTGCAAGATGTAAACAAAACTTGTCCCGAAGCACTTCCTGTTTCAGTTTTTTAACACTACATAAAAGCTGGGATAAAATACAACCAACAGAACATAGAAAACTGAATCAAAAAGTTAAACAAACATCTTTAAGATTTTTTCTTTACATGTGAAATAAAGAAAACGGTTACAAACTGAAACAGGAAGTGTTTCTGGACCAGTGTTGTTTACATCTTGCAAAATGGTCTATATAGCCAATTTTTCAGTCCCTTGTTGTTTAATGTTTATTAGTCTCCCCAGATTTTTCTTATTAGCCACGCCCCCTTGTTATATTATTAAGCTTGTCTTTCTGTGTATTTAAGCCCTGTGTTTAGTTCAGTCTTTGTCATTTCTTAACGTTGCACTATGGTGGTTGGGTAACACTTTAGTTGAAGAGGTGTGCATAAGACTGACATGACAATGTCATAAAACACATCATGAACATGAAGGAGTCTTTATAAATGTTTATGACTGTTGTCATTAAGTGTCATTCGGTAAATTAGGACACTTTTAATGCAAAGTTTACATTGTTTAAAATGCCTTTGTTATGACAAACTTGATAAAGACATTAGTACCAGTTACTCTGACCTGCCGTCAGACCTTCACCCCATGGACGAAACTCAGTTTTCAACGGGCCGGAGTGTCCCTGGAACAAGCTTCCCGGCATGTTGTTGTAATGACAGATGCCTCTGCCATGGGCTGGGGTGCCATGTGCAATAGATGTGCCGTCGCGGGCTCCTGGACTCCTGGACTACCTCTAACCCCGCCCCTAAACCTAACCGTCACTGAGGACTGACAACCTACCCCTAACCCCGCCAAATAACAAATTAATTCAAATAAATGGTATAATTCATTAATTCAAATAAATGTAATTATACACTCTCTCTGTCTTATTCAGAAATCTATTTCTAACAAGCCGTAACTGTCAAAAATAACCCTAAACTAAAGTGTAACTGTACTATACTAATTACAATAACTGGGTAATAACTAGGTACTAACCCTGAACCTACTTCTAAACCTAATCTTAACCCATGTAGTTCCTTTATATCACCCAGTACTTTCTTAGGTAAGTACACTGTACACATAAGTACACCTGCTGTAAAATAAAGTGCGACCCACAATTATAATTGTTTAAGATATTAGGCCATCATGCAGTTCAGTGTATATATGGTGTATGTTGACATTGGTATTACCAGTGTAAATAAGGCTGCATTTCTGCTGTCTAGAGGCACTCTGGGCCACATGTGAATGACGATTAAATGACACTGAGCTTCTGCATTTTTAATTTTAAACTTTATGCTAACATTGTGTCAAAGCACTCCATGTTACCAAGACTACAAAACATTTTGGGAATGTAATGCATGTTTAATACTCAGTATCATGTGGGCATGTGTGTGTAGGCAGTTACCATAGAAACGGCAATCCTAGCATCATGCACTAGTAACATTTTGGCACAGCAAAAGGGTTATGCCTCAGAGCTAGAATTGCATGATACTATCAATATATCTGATTGATTTTGTACATAAAGCAAACATGTGAAAGTGAATGTGCTCACAAAAGAAAATATTCAAGCATATGCAGCCCATGTGTATCATGTATGCATGACAATGTTGGTATGTGCATACGTGGGTGTTTATAGTGGGAGTGTTTATGGTGGGATTTAAGAAATAGTTTCCGCTTAACCATCTAACAGTAACAGGTAGTTGCCCACATTGGTACCCAGCTGTTCCTTCCCAGTTGTTGTAAAGGCTCTCTGATCCCTCAGAATATACACAGTGCTGGATGCTCTGTTTCTATGAAACAAAATAAACAGCGTAACATATATACAGAAAGGCTAATGGTTCCATATAGACGTGGTTGAAGCATTTCAGTGCTGCTAGCTTGTGAGTTTGCAAGACAATTGATGCTAGTGTGCTGCTCTGTTTATTTACTCTGTGTATGTGCATGGCATTAAGTTATCAAAGGACTGAGACGGGAGGGAAGGGGGTGGGGGGGGATGAGGTGGACGGCTATAATTTAAGTGAACGTCTGCAGGAAGAAGAGGCGGGAGGGACCTCTCAGTTAAATTATAATAATAAGCTCTCAATCGATGCAGGACCCCTTGCTAAAAATAGAAGCAGTGCTTGATTGAATTGTGTGTGTGTGTCCATAAAAGAAGTGGGCTAATATAGGGTCAATGATGTACACACAATGGAACCTTTGTAAACCCTCATTTATTTTTAGTGATGTCACACAAGTGATGATAAAAATAAGAAAAAAATTACACCCTATTGGAAACTAGTACACAGAATAGCTGAGGTAGGAAATTCTCGAACAGTTTTCTGGTGTCAACCAAACAGCCTTCTGTCAGACGACATTACAAATTAAGTGAGAGACCTGGAGTGATGTATTTTTCAATTCTAATGATTAATGGATTTCTGAAGCGTAAGGCGAAGAAAACGCATTAATGAAGCAGTCGTTGGACTTGCAGCCATGGTCATGCCAGGATGAGGAGGAGATGGTTGATGTCAACGGGAAAAAAACAATTGCACCCATCCATTTGTTTTCTGGGATATTTTTAGGCTCTGAAGCAACACTCAAGAAAGCCACTGTTGTGAAGGACATTATCTTACAGAGAAATCTCAGTTCTGGAAACAGAACTGAAACACTTTTCCTGTTCTAACATGTCTTCAGCTGTTTTTCCATTGCATGTTTGCAGAGCAATGTATGGAAACTTGTTTCCGCCACTAAATACGTAAATAAAAATAATAATAATTGCAACTTTTCATCTCACAATTGTGAGATATGAAGTCACAATTCTGAGAAATAAAGTCACAATTGCGAGAGAAAAAAAAGACAGAATTGCGAGTTTACATCTCGCAATTCTGACTTAATAACAAATAATTGCAAGTTTATATCTCGAAATTCTGACATCTTTTCTCAGAATTGTGAGATATAAACTTGCAATTGCGAGTTATGAGGCCAATTCTAAGGAAAAAAATATATATACTTTTTTCCCCC